ACAACGGACACTACCACCCCACACTTTCACAAAACCCCTACCCCCCAAACGCGCGGAAACGCCGTTCGCGGACCCCGTTCATCCGCGTCCAACGCGCGTTTGAACGGGGATTGAACGCGAATTCAACGTGCATTCAATTTTTCAACGTGAAACCCGCGTTGAATCGATTTTCGGACACACAGCACATGGACGAGTGTACATACGTACATATCACTTGCGTGTTATTTCCATTTGGTAACAGCTGTCTAGCAGTATCCTGGGCATTCGGCTATATTGTGGGGTATACTGTGTGAAAACTTGTAGGATTTTCTAGATGGATAAGTGTCTGCCGAGCAGTGTGTATTATGATAGCAGAAGTTGTTCGAAGTTGCTCGAAACTATTCTAGAAAGTCCTAGGCTAGGCTGCTAGACTGACCCTTGAAACTGCTAATCCTGCAGTCTACGGTTCAAGTCCATACAACCCAACTACTGACACAACACACAGTCATACGTTTTTGGGGACAGGTCGAGGGTTCGAGGCACACAGGGGTGTCGAGTGACTGTACAAGGTACAATATAGGTCTAGGGATCGAGCCCTGGGATCTGCGATTGTCGCATGAACTCGGTGAAACCCTCTCAGTTATGCATAACAAGAAGCATCCATCCCAGGGCACAAGCAGCCCAACGTGGATGACCAGGTCTCTCAAGGAGTGCAAACAAGGAGACTGGCCATCCAACTTTCTGCTCCTACAGGACCATTCAAGGCTGGTATGTCATCTCAAGCACACACAATTTATTCCACACGTTATGTGCATCATCCACCCAAGGCGCTTCATGCACAACTCAATCAATGGGCAAGAAGAGGGTGGCTCTTAAGGTAGCGGGCACTCGCCACATATATGCGAGGACTCTCAAGTGAAACGCTCCCCTTCATGGTAAGAAGAAATATGCAAAGTAGACATGGTTAGAGACAGTTGATGCGGCTGCCTACAACCACAAGATAATCTTACCAACTTTTGATGTGTTGTTTGATGATTGGTCTTGCTCAGGCACCACCAACATCAATCTGTTGTCCCGCCTTAAGCAACCGCAAGCACCAGTATACTCTCTTTCCAGCTGCTACGTCCTTCTATCATGAAGCAAGGGCACTCACTAGCGAGAAAGTCAACAACACTGTTGTATTGCCTGTGCCGGAACCATCTTACCTAACCCGCCAGACTAGGGGCGTCGGTGAGAGAACCACGCTCCGATACCAAATTGCATCAAACCTCACAATGAGAGCATAAATTTTCCATAGCACTGAAAATACTAAGTACAACAAGCACATGAGAGCAAAGTTGAAAGCAGGTTGATGTGTGAGGATCACACCAAATGGGAACACAAATGTGCAAGGAATATGAGTGTGAATGATATACAGAAAGCCAAGTTGCGAAATCACACAGATGTCCAAGTAGTTGTGTACAAGCAGAGAGCACAATTGCACCTAGGATCCATCCAAACGGAGCAATACAGTGAAATAATGAGCCAATGTTCAAGCCCTCAGGCCACACCAACACAGTATCCAAAGTCGCTCCTCTCTGTCTAGGGCCCGACGCCTAGCCTACTCTACTCAACTATCCTACCTACAGTTGTGTTCACGCAACAGGCTCACTTCGACTCTCAAAAACCAATGTACATGATGTCAACACCATAGTCGACCTCTCTTCATGCACCAGGTACGTATCTCTTCACCCTTATCACACCTGGATAACCCACACACTCGCCTCCTTCCCTGAAGACCACCAGATCGTCCTCTTACCCCCTAGCGCCCAACTTCCCGGCTATGGCTGCCCGCGCACCGCTGCCCTGCAGCGCCCCACTTCACCTCAACGCGCCCCGCAAGCGCACTGGCCGCAATGCAGCATTCAATGCAGCAGCGCAGCAGCATGACCGCATTGCCTGCGTGGGCCAGAATCCCCAGCCTGGGCTGCCTCTCTTCCTTTATGGAAGTGGCAGCCTTCTGGATGCTGCATGTGGCTTGGCTGGAAGCTTCCAGTAGCTTCTTGTTGGGCCCCAATTCCTGCGCCCAGGCGAGAGACTACAGTTGAGGGCCTGGGCCCCTTTACAGTTGGGCACGACCTGAGTCTCCGAACTTGGGCCGTTTGCTGCATTTGCACAGGACCCTGGGGTAGGTACGTTGACAGTACTGCTTTTGCATAGGCTGGTGGCCACTTCATGATGTATCGGCCCTGCTTTGTGTGTATGTGCCCAGGCGCAACTGCCAAGGCCTGGGCCAACTGTACGACGCAATTTGTGAGGCTCGCGCGCTCATTCAACCAACTGGTGGGCTGCAACAGCCTGAATACCCATATATGAAAATGTTGAATTTTGGCCTCTGATGAATATTCAGGCCCGACTTCACTTAGGGCTGACACTCGGCTTACTGGGGGCCTCTGCCCAGAACATGTGTTTGCCCCCATAAGGGCCCCTGTGAGGGCTCGTTCCTCGCATTCCATCACCGTTAGCTTCGAAAGTCCGCTGAGATGCTTCATGTTGGTGCCTTCCCCTTCAGTTTCTTCTCATACTCGGCCACGATCTGAGGAGTTGTCTTGACAAGTTCCTCCCTTGTAAACCATCGATCTTCCTTAGGATCCGTATGATGCCTGAACCGTACTCTGTATTCTCTTGTAGGTTTAGGCGGTCTACCCCTGCCAGCTGGCTTGGGAACACGCATGTCTCTGTGCTCCAGGACATCGTCGACGTCCACGTGGCCATCCATGGTTTGGGGGAACATAGATCTTCGTGATGGGAACTGGCCTGTCTCAACGAAAGGAGCGAGCTTTGAGGCATGAAAGACAGGGTGAGTGCATAAGTGACCAGGGATATGGATAATGTACGAGGGACCATCCATTTCACTACCCGCAACATCCAGGACTTCCCAAGGACCGAAGTACTGAGACATTAGTTTCCTAGAGATGTCGAACTCCTGTCCCTGTTCACTAGCCTTAACCCATACTTGTTGTCATGTTTGTTCTGAGAAGCAATCATTGCTTCCTGGGAATTCTTGATGTTCTCGACAACTTGCCGCAGCAACTTCTCATACTGGACACTAAATTCAATGGTTCCAGGAGTTGCAGCTGGTCGGTTTTCAGGAAGGAGGAAGTCTAATGCAGATCTAAGCTTCCACCCAAGATGCAGCTGATTCGGGGTGACCTTGATAGTACTGTGTACTGCGTTATTGTACAGACTCGCGATCAGAGGTAATTTCTTATCCCAGTCATCCTGGATGAGGTTAATATAATGCCTCAGCAGATGCTGCACCACCCGGTTCATCTGTTCAGCCTGCCCATTTGCTTCGGGATGATTCCCAGAAGTCATTTGGAGCTGGCTGCCCATCTGTTCAGCGGTCTTCTTCCACATCTCGCTTGTGAAACGCACGTCTCTATCACTAACAATCGTCGTTGGTAGTCCAAAGTTACGCACCCAGTTATCCATGAATAACTTGATGACGTGTTCAGTCTTGGCGGTCTCCGACATTGCAATTAGTCTAGCAAACTTAGTGAACCTATCACCTATGACGAAGATATGTTTCTTCCCACTCTTGCTGGTCACGAGGGTATCCATTAAGTTCATGGAGATACTCTGCCCCGGACCAGCAGGGATGGGTAGAGGCTTCAGTAACCCAAGTGGAGCTTGGGTATGCAACTTGTCCCGCTGACGGACCTGGCAGGTTTGTACGTACTTCTTTGCATCGTCCAGCATGTTAGGCCACCAGAATCGTTGCACTAAATTAGAACTAGTCTTCTTATAGTCGAAATGTCCCGTTGCGTCATGGCACTCACCTAAAAAATAAACTACGCAAAATCTCTCTAAATGGAACAACTAACCTTTTAAACCCTGCCTTCTCAAGGAAGAGTAACCCATCCACCATCACAAACTCGTCAGTGGTGGCCATGTCCTTGGCCTTTAGTTTGTTGATGATGTCCATAGTTATAGGGTCTTCCTTGTAGGCTTCCCCCAAGGATCGAGTAACGTTCTCAGAAAGGCCAAACTCATAAATCAGCGCACGTAGATAATCTGCCTTACGAGACAATGCATCCGCAACCTTGTTGTACTCTCCTTTCACATAGTCTAGTCTGAAATCATACTGATCTATGGTCAGTTCTCAAATAGAAGAACCTTCCCAACAGATAGTGGCTCTAGTGGACAAGTGCCTTGTAGAGGGCATAGAGTTCCCTCTTGTAGGTGGACTTTCCCAACTTCTTTGATGGCATTTTTTTGCTCATATACTCGGCCAGTCTCAACTTTTTCCCTTCTTGTTGAGCCAGCACTGCGCCAATGTCGTATTGGCTTGGGTCAGCAGTTACAACAAATGGCCTTTGCGGGTCGGGTACCATGAAAACCTCATGGTGTGTGAGTGCATGCTTCAAACGCTTGAAAGCTGCCTCACACTTGTCGGTTCATTCCCATGACGTATCAAGTTGAGTTAGATCAGTCAAGGGAGATATGATCGTGCTATAGTTTTTGACGAAGTTGCGGTAATAACCACACATTCCCAAGAATGATCTAACCTTGGTCACAGATTGGGGTCGTGGCCAGTCACGTATGCTAGCCACCGTCGCATCTTCGAGCCTAATCCCATCCACGGAGACTTCATGACCTAAGTACACGATTCGAGTGCAACCGAACTCGCATTTTTTTTACTTTATCATATACTTGTGTTGTCGGAGGAGTGAAAGTACCTTGTCTACATGTTGAGCATGCTCCTCGACAGTCTTACTAAAGATAAGTATATCATCGAGGTACACGACGACAAACTTATCTAAGTAGTCATGGAAGGTCCTATTCATGGCATGCTGGAATGTACCTGGTGCATTGCAAAGGCCAAAGGGCATCACCACAAACTCGTATAGACCGTACCTGGTCTGGAATGTGGTTTTGTGCTGATCCACTAGTCTTATAGCAATTAGATGGTAGCCGGATTTCAAGTTTATCTTAGTATATCACTTACATCCCTGCACCCTATCCAATAGGTCGTTGATGCATGGTAGAGGCTCTGCGTTCTTAGCAGTGATGACATTGCGGCCTCTATGATCAATGCACATCCTTAGTGTTCCCCCTTTCTTTGGGACAAATAATACTGGTGAGTCAAAGGGGGAGGTGCTAGGCCATATCCAACCCTTCTCTGTGAGCTCTTTCAGTTGTCGCCGAAGCTCGTCCAACTCGGTCGGAGCCATCCTATTGATTCTCCCTTTAGGTGTCTTGCTACTTGGGATGATCTCTATGGCATGAATGACCTCCTTGTCTACGAGTCATGTAGGCTCCTCAAACAGATCAGGGTACTTAGCAACGATATTCTCTATCTCTGGGTGTTTTAACGACCTCCCCTTTCGCATAGACTGAGTACATACCTTCCTCTTGGTTCTGTTTGTAATAATTATAGAATGCAGGTGCACATAAGCACCCATAGGATTCAATTAACCTACTGCCTTTGTACTTAGCCAGTCTAATGGTTCTCCCATTAGGCAACTCCTGCTTTAGCACCTTCTTGTCTCAGTCAAACTAGGGCTTGGCAACCTCGACGTAGTATATTCCTAACAACATATCAAAAGGCAAATCGTCGCTCACCAGGAATGAAATTTTATGATTAAGTTCTCCTCCTGGATAGGAGAAAGTGCATATCATGTCCTTAACGTAGTCCTCCACCATCATGCGCTCTTTGTTGGCCAAAGTAGATGCTACCGGTCTACTAAGGCGCTGCACCCGGTCCTTTAAACGTAGCCTCTCAACGAAGTCGCGACTTAGTAAGTTTCGCATGGAGCCAATGTCTACGAAGGCACCACACTTGCGGCCACCCACACCAACTTCCACAACAAAGTGCTTCCCTCTAGGACCTCGACTTAGTGCCACCCAGGACTCACGAGGGTCCCTTGCCGACCACTCACCTTGAAGGTACTCTAAGGCTTCAGACACATCCAACGTATAGAGTATAGTTGGGTGCAGATGCGTCTGCAGGGTGACTAAGGAGTCAATAGCTTTGGCCAACTCTTGAAATGGGGAGGGTACATCACCCTCGTCAACGAGAGTAGAAGCAGCTACAACTTCTACCGACCCTAGGTGTTTCCCAAGTTGGAGCTCGTAGAGGCCCCAGACTAAGAAGAAGGATACCCACCCTTAGGCGGGATCTTCTGCGCGACCTTAGCGTTCTTGCATTTAAACTGTTGATGGCCATACTCGCCGCAGTTTATGCAAGCTCCTTGCTGCCAACGGTCCCATCACACATCTTGATCCAAACCGGCTCTAACCCAAGCAGCTATTTTGTTTGGGTTGGCGGCTGGCCCCTGACTCCTCTGTTGACCGCCCTTGCTGCGGCCACCTGCCTTAGTCTTGACTACCTTGGCGAGGTTGCTACCCTCATCACTATCCTCGCCGTCTAACTCTAAACTCTCCACAAGGTCAGAAATGTCATCGATCTCAATTCGATTCCCTTCAGAATCAACCATCATCAATCGACTACCTTTTTCTTCTACTTTTGAGGAGCTTTCTTCTCTCTCCCGTCCGTAAGGGGGGTTTGAGCACCACCGAACGTAGCCTCTAAGTCTAGGGCCTTCTTGCTGAAGGTCTCAAAAGTGTGATACTCGAGTTGAGCCTCGTTGTCTAATAAGTTCTTGATGTTTGTGGAAAGACACCTCAAGAACATGGTCAGCAAGACCTGCGGATTGTACTCCACGCCTGAGACGACAATCAAACGCTCTACGGCCGTGGTGAGTTCGCGCACCGACTTGTACTTCCTAACATCAAGTTTCAATAACCCATCAGTGGCTATCTGCGCCTGCTGAGGGTTGTGCCACTCCAACTCTACCAAATCCATAAAGCTCTCTAGGGTGTGGGTCTTGGCGCAATCACCCATGTTCCTGCCGAATCCCTTGGAAGCCACCAATCCATTAAGCCAGCGAGCTGCTGAACCCTCTAAGTAGGATGCAACAGTTATCACCTCCTCCTCTACCAGCGTCCTCTTCGCCCTGACCCACATTGGAACCGTTCTCAACCAAGTGTCAAGAGCCATCTCCGTCTTATCTCCTGAGAAGGTGGCAGGTGGTTTCTGTGGGAGCTTGGGGTACCAAGGTTGCTGCTGTCCCACTTATGAGACAGGTGGCGGCTGAGGTGTAGCACCAGCCGCTGGACCAGACGATGAAGAAGCAATAGTCTGAGATAGGGCTGCTGCTGAAGTACCGCTTGGTTGTGGTACGGACCGAGGGGCATAGGGGCCTGTCATCGCTGAGAATGGCAGCGATGGGAAAGCTGCTGACCGGACTCCTAGCCTGTGCATGGCATTCAGGATCTGGTCCAGGGTGTCCTGGATAGCATCCAGTTTGTTGTCCATGTATGCATGCATGGACAGGATGCTTGCCTTGAAGACCTTTGCTGTGTTGTCAAGGCCTGAGTCATCTAAACTCTCTCATGCAGCTTTTGTCCGCCTCCCTGCCCTCTAGTCTGACACTTCTATCTCTAATATCTTTCTCTCTGTCAATAACCTTTTTAAGTTCCTCCTCTAACCTTAAGCGGATCCTCTCTACCTGTTGGATCTCCATATGCTCCCTGGTAAGGTGAGGCGGCGAGCTGGATTGCACACCCGCCATCTGACTAGAGCCAGCTCCTGACGTACTCGAGCCGGACTGCGAGATGGACCATCCCTGCGACATGCCGAGGGAGTTTGCAACAGATGATGCTCCAGAGGTAGCCATTGCTACCGCACTGGCCGCTGCTGCTGCCAATGCTCTTTTCGCAGCCGCTGTTGCTTCCCTTGCAATCTCTAGATTACGGGCCCTTACTTCGGCCCTTAGTCTTCTTTCGTCCCCTGATAGTAGGACCTGGAACACTACGGGTATCCTACCTGTGTCCCGTCGTGTCTGCCTCCTATCGTCAGTTGTACCTTCACCCCCGACTGATCCACTCATCGGCTAGGCAGACGCTGTCTGCACTAGGACTCTCGCTGGAACCTACCACAGTTTGCGTCTGGACGGTGCTAAAAATAAATAAATAATAGTTATCCGGCGAGTTACCGATACCACCGTTCAAGCGGTGTCAATAGCATCTACACAGACTGTACACAGTCTATTTCTATCCTGATTAGTTCTTTACAGAAGCTTTGAGAAAAGCTGACTATGGTAGAATATTACAGCCCTACTCTAGGCTGTCTGTCAGGTGTCAGCAGTCTGTCAGCCAGCTAGTCAAAAAATAAAAATAAACTAATGTGAGCAAATGTATGCACAATGGGTATGATAGTGTTTGCCAGTTGAGTCCTCAATTGGAATCTCCTTCCCTTGTATCCAACGTGCCTGTGAGCATCATCAAGCGACAGTGTCTAAGGTGTGCATTAACGACCCACCCCTGTGCCCAAGGTGTATGCGTATGACTTTCCTGCCCCTTCTTTATCCTCGCGTGCAACTAGCCTTACGTCTGATTGATCTGGATGATCAAGAGGCAATTTAAGGACAACCCCCGAGAGTCGTCAGGAATTATTTAACGCCACAATCAGGACGACGATCACATCCAGTGGACAGCTTAGACCCCAACGAAAAATGTTTATAGACGGTCTGGGAGCATCTGCATCAGTCCGCGCACCCTTTCTATCAGCGCAGCAAAGAGCCTCAAAGGACAAAGCAGCATGGCCTGTGTGTACTACTCCCATGGGTTGGCATGGTGACCGTGACCTGTGCTTCAACCAGGGCCCTTCAAAGTCACCGCCCTCTCCTGCCAGATGCGTCACCGGGAAGAATATTGTCTCTCAAGATAGAGCGCACACGACTCCTCACCAAAGAGAGGAAACTCAACGTTGGACTCACTTCCTCACGGTAAGAAGAGATTGAGAGGGTAGCTAAGGAGTTGGAACAACATACCTGGAGATAGCTGCCCCCAACCACAGATTTCTCAGCAATTGGGCCGACGTGCATTTCAATGACCGGTCATAGCCTAGGTACCACCCACAACGTGATGCAGTGCCACCTCAGCCAAAATGCCACATCAGCATGCTCTCATCACCATACATACATCCGCTGTCGCCACAGCTCCCACACTGTCGCCACATCCTTCCAGCGGCCGGCCCCTCTACCTGGGCCCCGCTCTATCAAGCCAGCGCCAAAGTATCCTTACTGCACATGAAGCATCGTCAGTGCACCAAGTAACAATGTCCTCAGCGCCAGGTAAGCGGCGATCACGAACCAGCTCCAATACCAAGTTGCAAGGAATATGAGTGTGAACAATATACAGAAAACCAAGTTGCGAAATCACACAGATGTCCAAGTAGTCTTGTGCAAGCAGAGAACACAATTGCACCAAGAATCCATCCAAATAGAGCAATACAATGAAGTAATGAGCCAATATTCAAGCCCTCAGGCCACACCAACACAGTATCCAAAGTCGCTCCTCTCTGTCTGGCGCCCAGCGCCTAGCCTACTCTACTCGACTATCCAACCTACAGCTGTGTTCACGCAACACGCTCACTTCGACTGTCGAAGACCAATGTACATGATGTCAACACCATCGCCGACCTCTCTTCATGCACCAGGTACGTATCTCTTCACCCTCATCAGACCTTGATAACCCACACACTCGCCTCCTTCCCTGAAGACCACCAGATCGCCCTCTTACCCCCTAGCGCCCAGCAACCCGGCTATGGCTGCCCGCGCACCGCTGCCCTGCAGCACCCCACTTCACCTCAACGCCCCCCCCAAGCGCACTGGCCGCAACGCAGCATCCAGTGCAGCAGCGCAGCAGCGTGACCACATTGCCTGCGCAGGCCAGAATCCCCGGCCTGGGCTGCCTCTCTTCCTATATGGAAGTGGCAGCCTCATGGATGCTGCGTGTGGCCTGGCTGGAAGCTTCCAGTAGCTTCCTGTTGGGCCCCAGTTCCTGCGCCCAGGCCAGAGACTACAGTTGAGGGCCTGGGCCCCTTTACAGTTGGGCATGGCCTGAGTCTCCGGACTTGGGCCGTTTGCTGCATTTGCACAGAACCCTGGGGTAGGTACTTCGACAGTACTGCTTTTGCATAGGCCGGTGGCCACTTCATGATGTATCGGCCCTGCTTTGTGTGTATGTGCCCAGGCGCAACTGCCAAGGCCTGGGCCAACTGTACGACGCAGCTTAGTGAGGCTCGCGCGCCCATTCAACCAGCTGGCGGGCTGCAACAGCCTGAATACCCATATATGAAAATGTTGAATTTTGGCCTCTGATGAATATTCAGGCCCGCCTTCACTTAGGGCAGGCACTCGACTTACTGGGGGCCTCTGCTCAGAACACGTGTTTGCCCCCATAAGGGCCCCTGTGAGGACTCTTTCCTCGCAAATGTGCTAAAGTTTCTTGAAAATGAAAGCCTTACATCTTGCCTCCAATCGTCAATGCGACAACAACTCTACTGTTCCCTTATGCTGTAATCGGCTATACTACTTCCCTACTTACTCTATACTCCACCGTAGTTCACTCTTTTCTCTCTGCTCTCTTCTCTTTGTCCACTCATCTGCTTGCCCAACAATGCCTCAAAGACCGATCACGTCACGTGCTCATAACCCATTATCAGGTAAGTCCCACTTCTCATTGCTGTCCTCGGCCCATTGTCCTCCCAAACAACAGTGCCTCCTCATTGAACCAGTGCAGCTATGGCAGCCACCAGCAGGGTCTGCCTAACCATGGCAGTCGTGCTCCTTCGTCTTCGGCAACGTGCTGCCTGGCTCTTCGAGCTGCTCCATTTTTAACCACTGCTGGCTAGCAACTTGTGAAACGAAGGGTTGTCCCTCAGCAGCCGCCTCCAACCCTTTTGTCAAATTCAGGAGGGCGTGGTTGCATCATCGAGATTAACTGCCTTGGTGACAAGCTTCCTGACAGTGTGTGCCACTTCCATGTGCCCGGCAGTTATTTTTACAGCCTAGCCTACACTAAGGGCCGGGTCCCTTTTGGTTGCAGTTGGCCCCCCCTGGGCAATGCCGAGGCCTGGAGTCTCGCACCTTCCTATCCGGTTCGAGTCTTCTGCTGTGTCACATTACATCTCTACCTCATGTTGGTGATCTTTGGACTTGCATCGCTGTCAGTTGCACTCTAGGCACTCATCAATGGCAGTGTTCTTTTCTCGGAAGGATGGGGAAGAGAGGGAATGGGAAGTGGCAAGGAAGGAAAAAAAGGAAATCTTTACCAAAAACCAAAAAGCAAATGAACTTTAATGAAGCTTTGAGCAGGATATAATATAATAGGAGGCAGTAGGAAATAAAAAAAAAACTCATTGTTAAAATTTATCCAATCCCTGCACACCACATCCCAATCCCAATTTCAATCCAGACAGATCCAATTCAAACAATGTAACCCAATACCAGTCCATTCCCACCCAACCAAAGCCATTCCAACGTATTCAACGCAATCCCCAATCCAATCCACAGATCAATCCTATACAAGTCGACCCAATCCAATCCTATCAATCAGGAACTGCCAACAGCCATAATTCATTCCTATTTGAATTTTGAACCCCGAACACAAATGATCCAACTTCACAGTGCACAATCCAGTCCAATCTAGTCTAACCAGATCCAATTCAATTGTCCAACCCAACCCAACCCAACCCAACCCAGTCCGATCGCCAAACCAATCTGATCCAGCCCTATCCAATTCAATCGAATTCAATGAAGCAGCAAGTGCCGAGAGTGATAATTCATTCCTTTTTAACCCAAAACATACGACTGAAATTCATAGTGCACATCCGGCCTTAATCCAATTGTAATCCAATGCAATCCAGTTTAGTCGAATCCAATCCAACCCAACTCAAACCAGCCCAGTCCAATCCCACTCATTCCAAGCTCCACTCCAATCCCAGTCAATCCATCCCATTACACTGGATCTGGACACCACACAAAACACATGACAAGAACACAAAACACCGCAACGCAGTTAGGAAATTATTAGCAGACAGATCATTAAACGTTAGCATTGTAACACAGATCACATAGTAGGTGAGAGAGAGGAAGACAAACACACTGCCATTAATAAAAAGAGAGACCTTGAATTGCAACTTCACTTGCCACCTTCGTGATATAGAACAGCTGACCTCCACTCTTATGGTATAATCTGCATTTTGGCTTTGCCCCTCTCCCCCCAACTTATCCCCCATTCTAACAGAAAATTATGCTTCTTCCTAGATTCTGTCTTCTCTCCCTCACCTTTTCCTTTGTCTAGCTTCCCCTCCTCTATGAAGCACTCCCAATCTGTCTCTGACCCTCATCACTGCAGACAAAATCATACACAATCATTCCATTGAACTAGAAACACATAATAGCCAAATGCCACGTCCGTAGGTTCATTACATCCACAGCTTAAAAGACGTAGTAGGGGGTAATTCTAGTG